AGTCACTAAGCTTTGGCAGGGGCCGGTGTCAACTGGGACCGGATTCTCCCCTTCGCCCCCCCCCAAACACAACATACACAAAAATTAGAAACAAAAACAAAATTGACATTTATTACACTTAATCGATTATTATCAACAACAGAACATTCAAGTTTTACTTTCAACTTTCAATGCCTAGCTCCAACTTCTCAAACCCTAACCCTTATTGTTTTCAAAACCCTCACCTTCCCCAGAAATCCATTTCTCAAGCTATGCCTGTTATTAACCCCTATTGTTCTCCAAATCACCGACTTTCAGCGAGCATCAGTTTTTGTTGCTCGGAACACTTTTTTTTTATTAACTAAACCAATTATTAATTGTAACTTTCAGTACCATGTTAGTTGCCACAAAGATTAGGGCTTCAATGCCTAACTTCAACACTCGGCCGGAACCAAGTATTGCCGGGTAGCCCAATACATGGCCGGGTACCCATGCATCCCTAAAAATAAGCAAGACCAACTCATTGATACAAGTCAACCACCAATGTGAATCATTGACATACATACTACATTAATTTTATAACAGAAATATAACTGATATTGATTTAACAAAAACAATTCATCTTACTTCTTCCAAAGTTTTAATTTCAGTACTGTTTAACCCAATTAATCATTACCAATTACATATCTGAATGGACCAGAAAAAGATCCAAGGAAAATCAGTCTGCTAAACATACCAACCCCCTATCCCACCTATGTCCATATAAATTTTTTTCCTTGAATCTGCATATGTTTCATCATCAAAACTGAAAACATCAAGTACAACTACAAAAAATAATAAATATGCCACCACAAGAAAAATATCTGTAAGAATATCTTCCTTTGATTTATTAATTTTTCCTGTTAACAACACCAAGCATTCAGATGTTACACTAAAATAAAATTGTTAGCAAATTACTAAATATTTAGTGATACCATTACCAAATCTCTCTCCCTCATATACATGATTTTTTTTCTTGAACTTGCATATATCTCATCAAACTAAAAATATCAAATACAAGTAAAACGACTTATTAAAGTGAAAATATGTGCTTTTATATTTTTTCTCAAAAAATTTTGAAGCAGTAAGGTTAAAGTTAATTCTGTAATAATTTTCAGTTCTAGATTTTTAAATTCAGTACAAATTCCATATTATATATATGATACTTAAGTTTTTTTTACAATATGAAGGCCATAATTGGCTTTTATGCAAAATAAAGTTTTAAATAACATACAGACAACAAGGGAACATTCGGTTTTTATGGCTGTCTTTGAACACCCACCTCTGAAAAAAAATAAAAATTTAAACCTACCCTTTATTTTCAGGAAATTGTCAATTCCCCTTTTAAACTCTATAAAAGGTGGTTTTCACTAATGCCAACTCATTCCACAAGCCAATCACTCTGTTAAAAAAATGTCTTAACTAAAGCCTAGCCTACTTTTTCAAGTCTTAATATGTTAAGAGATCTTATTAACCTATCTATGCAAAATAACCCATTCCCAAAATCATTCTAGTAGCCCTCCTCCAAACCATTTCCACTAACTCAACAGAAGTTTTTGATAAGGAGACAAAAACCATGGGCAAGTCTAAAGCTGTTTATCAACTGAAACAAGTCATTCTGCAATGCTTCAAAAAAAAAGAGTTTAATGTAATCAGCAAACTGTAATAATTTACTAAATGTTTCCCCTATCAATATCAGTAATATAAGTAAGATTAAGCAAAGGCCCAAGCACTGAATGCTTAGCTACTACATTATTAATTAGAGCAAAGCTTGACAGGACTCCATTAATAATGAGATTTTGCTTTTTTTTCCTCCAACTACCCTATAGTCCAATTAACTTGTCTTTTCCCAAACCTTACTAATGTGTTTTCTTAGCTATACTTCTGAGTTGCATCTTAACAAATGAATTTTGAAAATCCTCAAAAAAAATGATGAGATTAGTATGGCTAGATTCTCCTTTAGTGAATCCATGTTAGCTTTCTTTTATGATGTCATATTTCACTGAATGATTTTTTCAAAGCTTTTTAATGACTTTCAGATTTGCCCCAATACAGAAATATGACTATTTGTAATATAATTTCTGGGGCAACATTACCCACTCCCTATTAAAAAAAAAAAAAAAAACGAATAACATTAGCAACTCTCCAATCCTCAGGTACCTGCCCATTGTGTATTTGCATACCAAAATTAAAGAGAACAGATTACACATCTGATCTTTCATCTTCATTAAGACTCTGAGGAAAACCTTGGGTGATCCTGATGGTTGTTATTTTCAAATTTCTCAATCTTTCTACTTGTCATCAATGGATTAAGATTCACATGATTCAAGTCAACTCCAATTTTCCCATAGCATGCTTACAGACAGGAATATTGCCGATATTATTTCACATTTAAAATAGAAAAGAACATTTAAAGTACAAGTGATACTAGTGAAAGACGCGTATTATTTCGAAATTGATATACACAAAATCAATTAAAATTTTTTTACTACACAAAAGTAAACAAAATATCAAAATGTTTATAAGCTTTTATACATTACATTATAAAGAAAAATTACATATTGTAAATATTCTTGTACAGAGAACTGATCGTTACAATTAAAAATAGTTTAATATTAGGATATTGTACACTTTTAAAACTTACTTGCTACACAAATATGAAAGATCTTTACTCAAATTAGATAATTTCTTTATCTATCTAGGCTGATAATAACCAAATTAACTAGAAATTGTAGCCCTCAACTGATCAAGAAAGTATTCAATACCATCAAATATGTTTCATATTTGTGGGACAAGCAAGTCTGGATTAGTTGCATGGTAGTGAATCAAACTAATCACTGGATAAACTTAATGTTTGGGTGAATAAATATTTCTAAACAATTATAGTAAAATGTTTTAATTTACATTCTTTAAACTCTTATAATATATTTATTCCAGTAAAATGGTTGTAAAAGAACTTTTCCTGCAGAATGACTTTGAATGTTTTTGTAAAGAAGTATTTTTCTATAATAACACGTATAACAAGCAAGAACAATAATTATAACACTAACAAAATATATATGAACTAAGAATAATAAAAAAACTATTTTGAAGGTATATTACTTAAGATTTACATACGATTAGAATAGAAACAGGGAAGAGCTAGAGATGGTTTAGATAAACAAATTATTAATTACAACTTACATATAAATTATAATTTAGTTATATTACATGGCAATTCTAATTCAAAAAATGAATCAAGTATGCAGTCCTTATTTTTAATTCTGCAAGGTTAGATATCCTTCCAAAAATATAATTACATTTATAATGTTATCAACCATAATAAAACATACTCCAAGTTCCAACATAGCATTACTATTAAAAAAATGTAATGCAACTGCTGGCTGTAAATAAAATTTAAGCGTTTAGTTTTAATTAAAAATTAAGTTAAAACAATGCAAGTCTAAGTGACTCTCTTTCCTAATTTGAGTTTTTGATAAAGTCCATCATGGCTCCACGAAACGCTATATTAAGTTGTTTACTATAATACTTTTAAGTTATTTAATTATAATTAAACATGACTTGTAACACTTAAGCCTAAAAATAAAATGTTTAAACCAAACAGTACCGGTGGCGAGCTGAATCCGGTGATTTATGCCAAGTTTTTTTTTCTGTAAACTCTGGTTAAACACAAAAAATACCTAATTGTTTTGTTCTTAATGTATTGCGTACACTACCTCATCCATATATGTTTGCTCTGCATAAATTGTTTCTGTTTTTGTTGTTTTTTTATGACCGAAACGCAAAGTAGTTCTAACTTCAAATCTAAATTATGCAATAATATCTACCCATTCATGTTTATAATCAAATCACAAATACTGAATTAGTACTGTTACTGTTAGCGTTACGGAAACTGGAACTTGGCATTTCATACTGTCAAAGTTATACAACTGTACGTAACAAGATAATTTAATTTTCTTATTACCAGGATGCCCTTCTCCAACAGATTCCGATGTGAAAAGAAAACTTTCAAGAGTATCATGCTCGGTTGAAATGTGAGCTTCACCATTCATCATACATTCTAACACCACTGCGTTTTCCGCCATCGTTCACCGCGTGTTATTTACTCACTTCCCCCAACCACCTCAATAAATAGATTATAGATGTACATACGTAGGCTTGTTCACTACTTTATAGTCAGAGATACTTCAATCGCTGCGCATGGACGTATCTCAGATTCTTAATAGTCCACTATCTCATAACAAAACACTAGTATCTTAACTCTTAAATTTACAAATAAATTCTTAGCTCTTTATATCTTCTATCTTTATCAAAAGTACTTCTGAAGGAGAAACAATATCTTATCTTTTTGTTTAACAAAGGTTTAAGTAATATTAACTGCAATATTGATGATGTTTTTGCTTAATATGTGTGTGTGTGTGAGACCCTGTAACCATAAAGACCTAGACCCACAAGCAACTCTGTTCATAAACAATTTATATTGAAGTTAAATTAGTTTCACAAAAATTAAAAATTTGACAGTGATGTATGGGAAATACGTATACTGAAATTAGCAGGTAGAAAAATGGTTATAAGACAATAATTTAAATCTGATACTTCTGAAAACGAACATTACTTGATATGCTCACTTCTTAGAAAAAAATGTTTAAAAAATCAACAATGTCCAGAGAAACAAGTACACTATATTTTTTGTGCCAACGGGGTTTGATTATTTGTTTTACCTCAATTTCAACTGAACATTTTAGTTACTTTAATAAAAAGTAACTGAAAACTTTTTTATCGTTTCATAAAAAAAAAACACTAACAAAAACAACCATAGCCACCCAATATACTTCTAAGCCCTCTCGTCTAACTAGTATAAATTACACAGCTTACAAAAAATTTCTGTTTCGTTTTAATATTTATATATTAGAACACTATTTTGTATTTTATCTTCTGAGTTCTAAAGCTGATACCCCTTTTTATATAAATGTGAATTTGGCTGTAGAAACAACTACTACCATTATTATGAGTTTACACTTTTAACAATGTCATGGTGTGAACGCCTTTAGAAGCTGACGAAGCATGATACAATTGATTATATTTGTCATAAGACATTATGTTAGACCTGTTATATTTTTAACACTACATTCTTACTCTAGTCTCTACCGGATTTTCAAGAGTTAGAATAGTGTATAGTAATAGTATTTCAACCACACTATAATCATTATATCCATTGCCGACTACACACTTCGCTCAATCCAGAGCTCTTCAAGCTGGCTGGGACACAACGATAACAGTAGAGGTTGGAATACCATACAATACAGGCCATTTGTTACAACAACAATTAAGAATGTAGTGTTAAAAATATATGTTTAACATAAGGACAAATATATATAATTGTAATAATGGGTTTCATCAAATTCCACGTAATCACACACACACACATTGAAATTATAATAATTTGAAAATTATTCTCATGATAAATTAACATGTTCTAACAAATATCTATCTGCCATATTTCTACACAGCCCTAACGTTAAATATTATTCTCTTTCATTTAACAATTATTTCGACGAGCCCAGAAACAATCCGCTACATCTATTAATGATGACTTTAAACACAATTATAATGTTCCATCATAATATTAAAGGTAGTAAGTAATTAATTACAAACATTGATCAAATTTATATATAAATGAAAGATAATAAAGTCATCCCTTTTTTATTAAAATTACACAAAACCTGACAATTAAAACGATAGTTACGCGATAATTAAAGCACACAGACTTGCTAATTAATACAATGTGATATTCAATAGCACATTTAACAGTTGATTTTGTTTCATTTTTATGATCGATTGAAAAATATTTTAAGATTTTTAGAATCACTCAGAGTTACATCTTAAAATTTTATCAATACAGCAGAAATATATATGATGAAACTTGATTTTATACCTTCATTTTTGATAGGCACTCTTTCATCTACATGGATCAAATAATGTACATCTCTAATATGCAAATTAAATTGGCATATACATTGACAATATTTTTCTTTTACTTTATTTCCCCTTTTTTGTAATCTTCAAACTGCTGTTGAAAAATTCTAAGATGCAACCAGTTTCTGCATAAATTCCATGTCCCGCAACATTTATTAAATACCAGTTCTGCTCTTGATGCCTAATTCAACTAGATTTTTGGAGGTTTGAAAGATTAGGTATTCATAGGCATACTGATATTTAAGAACTTGGTCATTTAATGTAGACATAAGACTAATCAAAGGGAAAATAATCACCTATTTCTATTTTTACCTTTTTTAAAAAGATTATTTATCTCGATATAATTCTAGTATTTATTCTCTTACTAAGTTATATAACAAAAGAACATCGAACCAAACTACTTCTAAAGACTAAACACTTACTCCTGACTTGAACTTTAACATTAGAAATGTTTGCACATTAAAACAGTAGCTTAACTAAACCTATCTGTACCTCAACGTTACAATTCATATAAGAAAAAAATTCACTCTCAGTTCACTAAACTTTCTCTACTTTTTCGATTCTAACTAATTCTTGGATATATATTCCAAAAATGTTTTTCTGGAATTTATATAGCATTCTTAATCAAAGAGGAGCATTACCTTTGCTTTCGAGAAAACTTTATCTTATTGCTACAACAACCTACCTACTGACCAAATATGAAATACCCATTTTCAAAAAATAATCATCACGCATTCATATAACAGAATAATAAAATACTAAATATGCAACAATAAATAAATTACGAAATAAAAGTATAAAATGCCGTTGTACAACAATATTTATTACAAAACAGTTTTGTTTTAAAATGTCAGCACAAGGAGAAAAGTAATAAAGACATACAATAGTTTGTCGTGCGGCCAAAACAACCTGCTGAGGACACACAGGAGTGATAGTTTAACAATTTTCCCCTTTCTGTATCTCGGACTGTGGTAATCCAAACTGTCCCATATTTTCAGTGATATGCTATACAGGACCCTTACTTCACATACCAAATTTCAAGACAATTCATTAAGAAATACTTGAGATATAACATCTTAAATTTTGATTGAATTTCTTCCTTTTTTTTTCTTCGCAACGAAAGTACAGAAACTTTTCCCAGTTTACCCCTGAAGAAAAAAGATCCACCTTTCGAAAGGGTTCGGGTTATAGGGTCTTTATCATCCGATTTGAAAAAAAACTTAACTTTTATGGATTTTTTTGATAGAACTTTCCAACTTACAATTAGGAGACTCATTTGGTGTAAATATAAGGCACATGTGAAAAGTTATTGTTACGTCAGCGAGGTCACGTGACTAGTATCACGCCACCTCCTTCTAGAAATATCCTGTTCCTTCGTGAATTGTCGGGAGACTACTAGATTGGGGTAAGCTGGTATATATAAGATGGTCACAACGTGACGGAACAATGAGTAATTGAACTGCAGTCAGAAAGTGTGTAATTGAACTGAGTATTGCTGAAGTCGAGCACTTGAGACGTTCGTTGAGAATTATAGCGCGACTGTTGAAATTAAGTGTATCGCAAAGTTATATTCAGAAAGAATAAACCAGTTTTATTTAAGAAAGGACTTGTGTCGCTAAAGTTTCGTCGGAACGAATTTACGGAAAATTAACTGACGAACGGAGACGTAACAAATTGGTGTCAGAGAGTGGGATAAAAAAATGGAAACGAGAAGCGGCAAATCAAACTACAGCTTAGCAGATTTGATGGCAGCAATACAAGAACAGCAAAAAAAAACAAGAAGAACTAGAAAATAAACAAGAAGAACGAGAAAAGAAACAAGAAGAACGAGAAAAGAAACAAGAAAAGAAATAAGAAGAACAAG